GGGAAGAGGAAACTAAGCGAATGCAGGCATTCCGCTGACCTTTGTACTTTAAAAAGAGCAGCAGTAGTATTTTCTCTGTAGAAACGTTTTGGCTGTGGCTGGGGGCCAGCAGGCGGAACGGGCAGCTTGGCTGTGAAGTTCCATCAGCGGGAAAGTTCCACTAGGGACAAGGAAAGAGTTCGCAGAGCCACATCCGTTTACTCTCCTCTGCTTTCCCTCCTCTACGTATATGACTTGGAGACCCTATGTGGGGGGCAGGGCTAGGGCAGAGCATGATTTAGGGGTTCCTGGGTCCCCTGGGAAAATACTATCCTAACATCAAGTTGACTGCATTCTAACCAGCTCCTGAAATGTGCCAACTGGTGTCTATTTATTTATTATTATTACTTTTAATGGAGGTACTAAGACCCAGGACCTCGTGCAGGCTAAGCATGTGCTCTACCACTGAGCTCTACCCACCCTCCTTGGTGTCTATTTAATATGATTTCAATTTACTTGAGAAATTCTGTTCTTTAAGCTTTACTGGAAGGCAAATATATCTATTCAGTAAACCACCTTTGCCCATCTTATTCTCCTCATCTCTCTTTTAGTTCATTAGCATGATCTCATCTCACACCCAACAAGGCAAGGGATGGCAATCCTTCGGTTTCTCAAAAGTAATTACTACTTACATTGAAAACAAAAATAAAAGCAAAGAAGGTCAGGAGTTTCCAGACACTGAACTTTCCTTAAATTTTTACAAGCAACCATTAACCCATTTTGCACCTCCTTTAAATTTGTAGAATGAGAATAATCCGCCACCACTCCCTCCAAAAGGAAAACACAGCAGGATCTTTGGTGACACAATTATCAGTGCTGCCCATGATTTAGTGTGGGACGTGGCTCAAATAGGGTGCTGCTGAGACAGGCAGAAGCTGATCCATAGAGCAGGGCAACTTATCAAAGTTGTTATCCATGTACGTTTTCATTTAAAATCCTTATTGCTTTTCTCTGATTATAAAAATATTACTGTAGAAAAATTCAGATCTTTCAGAAATACATCATGCAGAAAGTGAAAGCAATCCGTAACTCCATCCTTAAGAATGAATCACTCTACCTTTTAACTCTAACATTTATTTAAAAGAAAATAAAACTGTTGTTGTTTTGTAAATGGGATCATACTATATTTAACCCAGCAACTTGCTTTCCTTGCTTAAGATTTCATTTGGTCTAAATAAATGAGAGCTTCATCTCATCTCTTTAAAAAGACTGAATAGTCTATACCAAGATGTTTTTACAATTATTTTACTTTGGTGAACATTCTTGCTCACATATCCTTGCACACATGTGAAAGCAGCTTTGGATATATAAAATCCTAGATAGGATTTGCTGGGGTGCATGTATTAACATTTTTTTTTTAGACTGTACTAAATTTCAAATCTTTCAAATTGGTCTGTGGCTTGAAGTGACCCTAGCACAATTCTATGCTGTGAAGTCTACCTCTAAGTCTAGTTTTCTTCAATTCCCTTCTCAAAAGTCACTGAGATGACAGTTTCCTGTCACAGGCTGGCCTGGAACCTCAGATGTTTTCACCTTATCCGTGCTACAGCTCTAAAGCATGTCAAAAATACTTGTCACTTTTGGGGAGAGAGCTTTTGGATTTTTTTTTTTTTCAGATGACAGTAGCTTTAGGTATCTTTTTGGAGTTTTGAGTAGGATTTAATGAGATAGATAAAATAAGACTAATCTATTATCCAATTCTTCCTTCTTTTAGCTGCTGGAGTGACTATAACATATTTGTGCTCTTGGGGCAAACACCTGTGTTATTAGGTGTCAGAGGTTATGTCTGCCAACTCTCATCTACTTAGCACATGTTTACTGTTTCTAGCAGTTTCCCTGTATTTGTCACATTAAACCTAAGTCACCAGTTCTGACCACCTTAAGCAACACTTTCATTTAGAGAGGGCAAATAAGACAGAATTTCAAGAGTAAAATACTTTTAATAGTACCCTCTTAGACCTCATAGTCTAAAATGATTTTTGCTTCCTCTGTACTCATACATCTTAATATGTTTGCGCTATTCATTAACTTGGCAATTGCTCAAGAACTTCCTTTGGACTTCAAACAAAAGTTAAACCATTTGAGTGTTTATATAAATCAAATCACTAACTATATTCTCCCTACTAGATTATATGCTTCATGAGAGGAGTAACTTTGGTTCACTGATGATTCCCTGAAACTAGAACAGTACCTGGCATATAAAAGATTTTCAACATTTGTTGAAGGAACGATAAATTCTTTGAAGCCAGGAATCTTCCTATATTTTGCATCCCCATAGTAAATGACAAGTTGCTCATTAAAATTAAGGAAAAGATCTTTATTCAGGAACACAACTTAAGATTTTCTTAGAAGCTGGCCTAAATAATACTGAAGATTCTTTCCAGCCCTAACTTATTATACATCGACTAGTTTCCAAAGAATTAGAACCCAGCATACTACACATACTACTAAAACTAGAGTAAGAATAATTGGGTAAATCTCTGACTTAGAAAGCAGTACACTGATTTTTCTAAGATTTTGGATTATCATTATTAAGGTCAGATTTGAGAATTAAGCTATACTGACCCCAGGCTATATTCTGTAAGTTCCCTTTCTGAAAGAAAAAAAAAATCATGGCATCAAGTTTTTAACTGGGAGTGCCTCTGTAAGCATACAAGTATGACTTTAATGTCACTGTATAAGCAAAAAGGCAAAGGAATACAAATGTAGAATGTTTATATATTTTGGATCATGCCAGTGATGGTATGATGCTAATGAAAGGTACATCTACCTTTAAATTCATGTCAAATGTGCCGCTGTTTGGATTTAAAGCCAGTAAAAATAAAAGCAATGAAAAAGAATTAAAAAAGGGAAGCACAGTGAAAGAAGGATCCATTTAAATCTGGAGCATATTCTGGATAATATACAACATTTGGGGGAATAAAGGCAGAGAGTGAGAGAGAAAATGTACAAGAATCAATTTTAGAAAGTCGCTTGAGAAAAAAAGTCCATTTCATAAAATGCATTTAATTCTAGTCTTTTAGTACTTATTTATGTCAGATCATCTCTAACTGGATGTTTGGTTTCCTGTGCTGAAACTTAGAAAAAAGTTATCTTGTGGTTACAAAATAGCATGTTCTCAAGATGCTTGACTGAAAAGACTATTTCTTTGGCTTACTATTTTTACAACAAATTTTACTTTAAAAAGAGATTGAATTAATCAGATTTGAGATTAACTCTCCCTGGTAGAACTGTAGTGGATTAAAAAAAAAAAGAAAATGGCTCAGAACTTGAAAAGAATTTTACACAGACGCAATTGACAGAAAAAAACAGGGCCTGAAATAAAGGAGAATTTTTGATGCGTTAATAAAAGAAGAAAGAAAGAAAAAAAGAGAAAATGATACCTGAGGTAGGGAGGGGCAGGAAAAATTTCATGAAACAGAGTAGTTAGAGGAAGATATGTGCCCAAGTTAGATTAGGGAGCAAAGTCTGAAGGACAACAGAATTATTCTTGGGGAAAACCAATACCAGGAGGACTCCTATGGTTCATTTTCTAAAATAAAAAGGTAAACAAGTATTAACTTGTTGAGGCTAACATTAGAGAATAGTACACTTGTACTACCAGACCCTCAAGGAAAAGAAATGCTCAAAAATAATTTTTAAAAACAAGTATGGAAAAGGACGTAAAGTAAAAATGAGAACATTCTAACTTACTTGAGGTAGGTGCAAACAAAAAATGAAGTAGGAATAGATAAGAGATTGCTTTCAATCATTCATGCTAGAAGTGAATTTTTAGGATCATACACCTTAAAGCAAATGGAAAATAGTCAATCCTAAATTTCAGCATGTAAGAAATTTCAATTAAATGCATAAAAATTTCTCTAAAAGTGTTCAATTAAAAATTTAAGTTTGGCAGGCTATCACGCTTGTAATACTGAAATTACGCTTGTAATATTTATAAATCTTAGCTATAAAAATATATTTCTGTTTTAAAGATACCTGTGAAGCTATAAAATATCTCTATTTTATTTAAGAGCTCATAGAAAAACTGATGAAACACTAAATATGTACGACAAAACAAATATATGCAAAGTTCTAAATTTCATTTTATAGGAATACCATCTATTAAAGTGCAAGGTGCATGAATATCTCGGTGACAGGTGTAAGCTCAGCGAGGAACCAGAAACGAGTTCCGCGTGGAGGCCCAGTTCAACCTGATCATTTCATGGTCACAATAAATCATCCACAAAGCCCACCTTAAATAGCTAAAGTAGTCATAAAAATAGGCCGATGGTTACTTTAGCGATAACATAATCCTCGGTCTTATTGTTGTGGAGCAGATGTCATTATGGGTGGGGCTGACGCGCAGAGCAGCTGAAACATTTTTGTACCACCCCCCGCACACTTTCAATGGGATAGAAGGGGCTCCAAAAAAGGTAAGGGGAAAGCTCTCAGCGATCAATTCCTACTAGAAATAAGGAAGTTTTGATGTGGCCTTGGTACACGTAAAGACCACGATAAGATTTTTAAAATCCCCCATGATTAAATCCTACCCTGTAAAAGAGATCTTCCCTTTCTCCCCTCCCCTGCCGGCTCCTCCTTGGGACACTTGGCTGAGTCTTTCTTTCCCTCCTTCCCACGCTGAGGTGAGGCTGCACGCAAGCCAGGGACGCCTGTTTTTCTTTTCGCGCGGAGGGAACTCTGCGGGTAGGAACCCCGGGTGGCAGGAAGGGAGCGGGTGGCGTTGTGAGGAGGCAAAGAAAGCTCGCCGGGTACGAGCCGGGCTGGGGTTGGGAAGGGACCCGCGGGCCGCCGGGCCCGCAGAGGAGGCCGAGGTGACGAGGGAAATCTCCCGGCTCGGAGCTGGGACCGGGCGCTTCCGGCTGGCCACAGGCGCTCTCGGCCTAGCGCTGCTCGCGTTCAGAGCTCCTCCGGGGCGCGCAGAGAGTTAGTAGAGAGGGTAAACCGCGGCTCGCACTTGCCTGGGACCGGGTGACCAATAACTGGTAATAGTCTTTGCTCGGCGCCGGGCCTTGTCCTACAATTTCGAACAGAGTCTCCGGCAGCCACGACGCCATCTTTGGACGCCACCGTCGTCGCTAAGACAACCAGGAAGGGGCGGGGCCTGGTTGGGGTCATGGGGCCAAAGCCTTGGTTTAAATCGAACCCTACTTTTGAGCTGGCGGGCTGTTTCTAACTTGGGGTGATTGTCCTCTCTCCCAAGGGCCACAGGGAACCCTGAGCCGTGAAATTTGCACCTTCAGGTCCCCGGTGACCCGAAGGGGAATTAGTTCCTGCTACTACCGAGGGGAGGGGGGGGTGACCCCGGCGGAGGGATACCAAGCGAACCTTCACATTCTCCTTCCTGGTCCCTCGAAGGGATCGGGAGGAGATAGCAGGCCGCTGGGGAAGTCGAGCCGGGCGGTGGGAGAGGGAGGGGCGATGTCATGAGCCGCGAGTAGGCAGCGGGGCCTGTCCCGCGGACGAGCCCGTCAGCCGGAGTCGCAGGGCAAAGTAGTTCCCCGAGGGTGTTGGAACGGGCGGGGAGGGAGGCGGCGCGGGCGGAGGCGCACGCCGGGCGCGGTGCTGCGGCTCAGCTGATAATTGTAGGGACCCGAGGAG